AGATAACGGAGAAAACCACTTTCGCTAATATTCTGCCGAATAATTCATAATAATTAATTTATAATTTATGCCGTGCATTGACTTTCACTTGTATGTATCAGAAAATTATTACGGAGGCAGCTGACGTAAATGAAATAATTTGCAGCTTTTCTCGCAAACTACATTTCCTGTTCATCAATAAGGTAAGAACCAGAGCCATTATAAACCTAAATATACTTGATTAAATTAAATTAATTGAAAAGTGTAGTGTAGTAGCAGCAATAGAATATATGTTTGCGGTCATAATGATGACAGTAGCACACACAAAATAGTATCTGTTCCGTGCTACGGCGCGAATAGCGCTCCCACTGCATGCGTACCAAGCCCGAGCCCAACCGAACCGTGCCCTGGCCCACCTCTTCCAACCGGGCCAGGGCCGGCTAAACTAACCGGAGCACGGAGCATTCACACTAGTCAAAAGAACGGGGCTTTGGGGGTCAAACGCCTTGTGTGAGTACACCCTAATTCCCGTTTAAAAGTGTTAGTTCACCCCTAAAATGGAAATTCTGTCAACATTTACTCACCCACATGTTGTTCCAAACCCATTTGATCATCTTCGGAGCACAAATGTAGGTATTTTTAATCAACTCTAAGAGATTTCTGTGCCTCCTGCACTTTAATCCAAGTCTGCTGAGACATGATCGCTTTATATGATGAACAGATCTATTTTAGGCTTTTATTCATTTATAAACATTGATCAGCTAACAATGTTAACAGCTACATTTGGTAATGGAAGCTCAAGCACGCTTGCTTGAGGCGCAATGACCAATGATGTTTGTTCTTGCGCATAAAGCAAGTATGGTTGAGCTTCTATTTATGTTCGGTGATCTGTTTATGCATTTACATTTGTTTTTTGATCTCTTTACGAATGTTTTGAAAGGATCAAGAGTAAAATTACCATTTTCATTTTGGGGTGAACTAACCCTGAAAGAAAGGAATTAAAAATACATTGGTTTTATGATTTCATAGTAATATTTTAGATTTTCTACTGAACTGTTTTTGTAATATCAGGTGAATTATTACATTTAACTTG